AGAGACCGCACTCCACCCTCTCAGACAGCAGCACGTCCTCCTCCAGCAGCCGGTCCTCCTCCGCCCGGGGGCCACTGCCCCCGCACGCGCCCACAAGCCCCGCCCGCTACCCCTGTCCGTGCGGGTGGCGTGCACACCTGCACCGAGCAGGGTGAGCTGAAGCAGGAGGTGGGGCCGGCCTTCCCTGCGTGCGTGCGTGATGCCTGCGTGAGTGCGTGCGTGCGTGAGTGCGTGCATGCGTGAGTGCGTGCGTGCCTGCGTGAGTGCGTGCGTGCGTGGCTGGCGTACGTGCTCATCGTTTCCCGATTTCGTATGCTGCCGAAGGTTTCCAAACAGGTTAGAAATTTTCGTTTACTTAAAAAAAAAATTCCGCTTCCACTCAAGACAAGGGAACAGGGAACAAGTTTAAAACAAGCAAAAAGAGAAACCAAACTAAGTGCCCTCCGAAGCCCAAAATGCGCCACTGCCACCATGAAGTCACCCCTGAGGGCGTCGCACCCACCGCAGCGGTGCCTCTGCGCGAAGCGCTGGGCGGGAGCTGCTCGGAACAGGCAGCGTCTCGGGGAGCACGCACCGTCGCCTGCCCAGCCCAGAGCGACGGCGCTCTCCCGGACACGTCCCTCAGGCTCCAGGACCGCGGGTGGCTCCCGTGGCTCCCATCTGGGCTGCGGCAGCCTCTGGTCAGCCCCGGATCTGGAGGTGGGACTTCTCCCGGCAGGAAGACCAGGCGGAAGGGTGTCAGAGGGCTCAGGTCTGCCATCCCCAGCACAGCCCGCAGAAGCCACCCGCCAGCCACACTCGAGGTTGTGGCTGCACCTTGGCAGGGGCCCCACCCTGGGGAGTGACCCCACGGGCCCGCGACTCTGTCTGGGGTGGCACAGGACAGTCCCCTGGGAGCGCGCCTCCCGTCCCGTCCTGTCCTGCTTTCTGTCAAAGCCGCGTGGCCCTTCGTGCCACATTTTGTTTTGTCCCCCACTTGGGCTCACTCTTACCGCCCAGGGTGAGGCTTCCTGCTGGGGGAGGGGTCGACCTCCCTCCCGGCCTTCCCCTTCCGGCCGCACTGGGCTTCCTGATTTCAGAAAAGCAGAGTCACAGACCTCTTGTTCATGAGCATAAGTGGTGTCTGACCTCCAGCAGTGCCGTCCTCCTGCTTTAGCCCGGCATCACGGGTCATCTGGTTATAAATCTGTACCTTGTAAATCATTCTCTTTGTGCAAGTCTCAGGGCCAGAGTGCCGGGCACAGTAGGCCTGAGGGGCAGCCGGCCAGGCCGGAGGACGGTTCTCACTGGGCTTCTCTCTGCAGAGACTGGGAATTCCGAGTCTACCCACCGCCCGTCAGGGGACAGCGGCCCCAGCCTCGCGGGCCGTCCCTGCCGCCCGCAGAGCTGTCCTCTGGCGAGGGCTGTCAGGGTGTCTCCCTGGCCCCTCCCAGGAGGGCTCACGGCAGCAGCCTGACGGGGACCAGTTCATCACGACCGTAAGTACCCCTCCTCTAAGCCCCCACGAGAGAGGCCCAGGTGCTGGG